GGCTTTGACTCTATTAAACAAATGGGATCTTAATCCCAATTAATGGACGAGCAATATATCATCCCCATAAATTGCATTTAGAGACTTTTTGTCATAGACAGGTGAGCTGGGTCGAGGAAATTTATATATACAATTTATATTTGTAATGGTTTATTTTGATTTAATAAATAAACGACATCAACCTGATTGAGGGAAAAAAAAAAAAACAATAAACCTATATATAAAGAATATTGTGTTTTTTGTCTTTTGCAAGTATTGAACTAGAAACATATGTTTGGAAACTTGGGAGTACTACCTATTGTACTATTGATTCACAGGTCTATTATTATAAAGTTATTATTATAAATATATATAATTTAAAATATTATATTGATAATTATTTAAAAAAAACAAATTCAAGTTTAATTAGCAATATAATAGTCTTGATATTAAAAATTCAAAAATTATATACAAATCTATTAGATTTATTAATAAGTATACTGTAGCAAGAAAATTGTTTAGTTATAATATAATAATAATATTATATTATTGTATTCTCATTTATAAAAGATTAATAAATGACATTGGCTTATGGTTTAATTAGGAATAAAGAAAATAACATGTTACAAATAAAATATAATTAGTAAAATAATATATATGATTATATATAATATATATATATATTATAGTTAAACAAGTATGAATTGTTTATTGAATTTTTATAAAAAACAAATAATAAAAATATATTATTGTATAAACTATTTTATTGCCTTGAATATTTATCTTAAACAAATATCTTTAGGTATAACTTTAAAGATAAAATGATTACTCTTTTTAATATTTAATTATCTATAAAATCTAAAGTTATTGATAATGTTAAACGTAACATAAGAACAGGAAAGTTTATTCACACTCGTAAATCTTCAGCACGCCATCTTCATTTTGGGAATTTAAAGTTTTAATTCCTTGATGTATTTATTACATGTAAGTTACATATGTCTATTAAAAACAATGAGCTCTATGCAAACCTTTATTCATTATTCGTCAATAAAGTAAGTTGTCAAATTCTATTCCTGCATCTTATCGGATCCACTGTTGTCAAAGATACCCGAAAAAGCACTCTGAAGAGACCTTTCATAGATGAACTTTTGGTTGTATCCACCAGCCTTTAATAATAGTGTTGGAGCAGGCAAATACCTGTAAACATTTATTGTTGAGAATAATTAAGTCAATAATATGAAGATCAAAAAAAATAAAATAGAATAAACAAAAAGAAGGATACGAATCAACATATTTGTCTTTAATAGTGTAATGGTCAATATCTTTGTATTCCGATGCAACAGGATCAAATTCCTGTTTATCTTCACGAGAAACATGATCTAGTCCGAACCACTCAACTCCACTTTCCTTCATTTGCAGGCTACTGAGAATAGGGTCTTCGAAAGGTTTCTTTGGACCTAACTCTTTCTTAGCTGCTATGATCTTTGAAGCTGGCGCCTTCGAGTTTGCCTAAAAGAATAATAAAATTCATAATATGAATATTAAGGTAATATGCATGAAACACATCAACAATTAAAGGAGATAGAGGATACCAATTCATTAATTATCTCGGCCTGATGCTCTTCCTTAGCTTTACGTTCCAATTCTAACGATTTTTTATAGTTCTCAAATTGCATACGCTTTTCCCTTTTTTCACGATCTTGCTTATATGCTGCAAATTTTTCTTCATCGATCTAAATTCGTGAGGAAATATATTGCCCATGTTAAATAATCATTGTATTTCATTAGATCAAAAATATTTTATCAACGGACCTGCCTCCGTGCATTATGAACAATAATGTCTCTATTTTCTCTAGCATATTTCTCAATTAATTCATCTGTTGCTTGTTTGTTAATATTACTGTTAAGATTCCAAACTGTATTAGGAAATGACTACTTGGGTTAATTTTGCACAGTATGAATTGAGTAAAAATCATAAAAATCATAAAATAATATACCTATGTCTTCAACCATTTCCAGATAATCATTATATTCTTGCAAGCTTTGAAAATCTTCTTGTCGTTTATTAAATCTATATAAATCTTATCGGATCAAGTTATATTCTCATACTTCGCTAAAAAAAATTCACCAAAGTCGGATACGTTACTGTTGTGCAATCTTTTTGCGAATCCGAACTTCCTTTTCCACACTCAAATCTTCGAAAGTTGGCACCACAAAATTTATTTTCCTTAATGTAATACCACATTTCGGACAAGGTCCGGCACCGTTTGCAAATAATCTATCAATACATGATTCGCACCTAAAAAAAGGTTGAAATAAGTACATATTCTCCAATGATAGCAAAAATATTGAACTTACATTTTGTGATAACATTCGCTTACAAGCAATTTCATAGTCGGGGTAAGGTATCTAGTGTTTTTACATATTGGACAAGACTCGTCAAGATCTTGTACACCTAGATCGTTTGTTATTGTACCTACACGAGTGGCCATTTTTAAAATACAGCAAAATAATATATTCTGGAAACTCTATTTATTTCTTGACTACCATTCCAAAAATAAAAAGTCGAAAACCATGAAGATAAGCGAAATTGGGTTTTTTTCTAAGAAATGGTTTTGGGGGTAAAAATTGTACATATCAGGCTCAAAACCGTGACCGATGCAACAATAAATATCTTCATCTTTTTCGCTGTCGTCCTTCCATGCATACACTACCCAAGAAAGGTTACTATCAAGCAAAAAGAAAGCCCCGAATGAAGAAAACAGCTGTTCTCTTGATTTCCATTACAAGCTCTTAGTGACGTTTGAGGAGCATCAGTTTAATCGACCTGACCTTTGTAAAAACTATATATAATTCTTTCCCTATTTAATTATAAGTGACATCGAATTTAATTAATTTATACTGCATATAATTAATAATAATTTTAATAACTACAATGTACAGGTATTTGAAATTTAAATGACAAAAAAAATACATATGATAAAATTTTTATTTTTATTCTTTCAAAAATAATCTATCAACTCAATATTATATCAGGCCATAGTAATGGTCTTCTAATTCATGGATTTTATCAATTCTTGTAAATCCATTTTTGACTTTTCTATATACTGTACATTTTTTTTTAAACTTAGGAAATTGAAAAATTCATTTCATGAATATAATTTCGAACTTATATTTAATTTCTTTTATAAGTTTATATATATATATAGAAATAATATTTTTTTATAAAATTAAAAAAATTTTTTTTGCAAACTAATTTTTTTTTTACATTTTAAGCTTTATTTACTTTAATTTTATTTTAATTTTATTTTTTTAATAAGCAATAAATATATGACTTTTATTAAATATTTTATTATTATTGTTGTTGCAAGCTAATTTAAATCTTGATTTTGAAAATATTATATAGTATATATTATAAGATATACAGTATGAGTCATATATTTTTGGAATTTTTTTAACTTTGTATTTTATCTTAATATTAAATAAAAAAATC